AGGAACAGTGATCCCTGCGAACACCTCTTCTAGGAGAAAGCCGTCCCTGAGTTCATGCCTGGATGCCAGACAGTCCAGTTTCTCCTCGTATGTGTCTGTGTCCCCCAGAGCCTCACCCTGGTGCTGGAACTTAGATGAAGCAGGACCTTGTAAGTTCAGTTCATGTTGCCAGCCTTTTAAGAGGAGCAGTTGGGTCTCTAGCAGTCTCTATGTCACTGAGCCCCAATCTGCACTGGTTTTTACAGCCTGTAGTTCTTACTGCCCATAGGGACTTCTTTTCCCAGCTCTGGGACCCTGGCTGGGGGTCTGGTGTGGGGCTGGGTTCTCTTACTCCTTGGATGGCCTCTGCAGAGACAGTTTCCCTCCCTATTAAAAAAGTGACCCACGTGGGTGCCAGACCAGCCTGTTCCGCACCCCTACACCTCCTACCAGTCTCAGTGTGCTTTCTTCTTTACTTCTCTAGTTGTAGGACTTCCATTCAGCCAGTTTTCCAGTGGTTCTGGATGATGGTTGTTCTGTATTTTAGTTGTAATTTTGATGTGGTTGTAGGAGGCAGTGAGTACAGGCATTCACCTATGCTGCTATCTTCCTTTTTCCACTGAGTTTAGTCTTGTATCATTATTTATTAACTAGAGGCCTAGTGCATGAAATATGTGCACTTGGGGGTGTCCCTCAGGCTGGCCTATGTCCTCTCGCTGTCCAGGAGCCCTCGGGGGATGTTTGACTGATGGAAAGTGGGCCTAAGCCGACAGTTGGCCATCCTTAGAGTGGGCCTAAGCTGGCAGTCGGCCATCTTTAGTCACTGTTACTGTGCTTGCCAACTGTGAGCCAGCTCCTGGCTGAGCGGTGCTCCCCTTGTGGGAGCACACTGACAACCAGGGAGCAGCTCCTGCATTGAGTGTCTGCCCCCTGGTGGTCAGTGCACGTCATAACGACGGTCATTGCTCCATTTGGTCGATTTGCATAGTAGTCTTTTATTATATAGGACTAGAGGCCCCGTGAACTAATTCCTGCACAGGTGGAGTCCGGCCAGCCCGCCCTGATGGGGGCCCATCGGCCGGGCTGTGGGGGTAGCGGCCATGGGTGGTCAGCTGGCCTGCCCTATGCCCTATCGGTGTTGGGGGGAGATCAGGGGTGGGACCGGCCAAGGGGAGGGGCCGTGGGCTGTAGGTTAGCTGGCCTCACCCCCGATCAGGGTGTTGGGGGCCAATCAGGGGCAAGGCCAGTGAGGGGGGCAGCAATAGGGACCTCAATAAGGCTGGTTGGTTGCCACAGTGCTTATCGTAGCCATTGGTCATTCTGGTCTCTTTGGTCATTCTGCTGGTGTGGTTGCTGGGCTTTTATATATATAGATTATTGTATTTTCCATAAAAACAACTGTAAATCTACTTTTGTCTACCCTGTATATAATTTTATATTCTGCTTAGTACTTTATTATAAATGCTTTTTACTTAAAAGGATATCATACATTTTTTTCCATGAATATATACTTTCAATCATCTACCTCATCACCTGTCACATGCTATGTATATTCAGTTAAATGGGTTCTTCTCCATTCTTATTTTTAACACTTGAACAAAAATCAATTTAAACATTCCACTATTTATTTATTTTTGTTCTATATTTTGCTTTTATTTCTGTCCTGGTGTCAGGCCACATGTGGGACACAGCCTATTTTCTGAATTCTAAAATTTCACTTATAGTAGGCAGCTGTGTTAATACCATTTCTCTGGAGATTTAGTGATAGTGGTAATGAGGTGGATAATTCAAATATAATTATACTTTTCCATTCTTAAAATTCTCAGAGCATTTTTACCCACATGGCTTAGAATTTATGGGCATATTATTAGCCCTACCTTCTTTTTGTGCTCTCTTTTCTCTATTTCTTCTCCAGTCTCCAATTTTATTAATTTTTATGCATATCATGTTAGCTATGTTTTTTTCTTTTTTTCTTTCCATCTATTCCCTTGGAGCTTCCGTTCCATTCTGCAGTAGCTTATCACAGTATTTTATTAAGTAAATGTAAAGTTTTATCCTAAAGAAAAAAATCTCCAATATTATTTGTTAAAAATATTTTTTCTCCACTCTGTTGCATAGGTTTTTCCACAAGTTTTGGTTTAGTTGCTTGTGGTTTGTCTTTATGGAATTTACAGAGTATAACTTCACCTGAATAATATTAAAATATGGGCAAGAGTTTTACTCTATCTTCGTAAAAGAAAGGTTAAGGAACACTAGGTTGATATTATAATTAAATTTCACCAATATTTTCCTGGGGATTGAATGGAGAAGAGTGATCACTTCATTGATAGACCCTCTTAAGATATAGCTCCTTTTTAATAGTCTCAATAAAATAGAAAAAACTTTACTAATCTTTTGAAAACAGGGTTGTGCTTCTTGTGGCCCAAAGATGATGTTTCTAATGACAGTGCAGTTTCTATTATATGCCAGGTCTAATGCTAAAGAGGGGGGGGGGCAGTAAAATAGTAGTAAACTTGGTGGAATCTACCTTGCATTCATCCTAGTTTGCCACTTGATACATTTCCCCATTTATGTATAACTTCTTTGGGCATCTACTACTCTCCTACTGTTTAATCTTCTTTCCTCAATTTGTAGCACATTAGAGAAAGAATAATCATTATTTCTCAAATGGCAAATAATAAAAAAAATAATTTTAAATTTTCCAAGTGGCTAATCAAATAAAATAACTTTTGAGCAGATATTTATTTACAGGTTAAACTAGTTATTAATAAGTTATGTTTATGTGGAGACTGGGGACAGGAATTGTGTGTGATGATGTATCTCTCTATTCCTTTTTAAGGTTAGCACAGTGCCTGATTCATAGTAGGTGCTCAGTAATGAATTAATGAAGGAGTTAAAGGCATTGTTTAAAGCATTTCAAGGTACTGATGGGAGATACGAAGGGGTACAATGTCAGGGAATTTTAGTATAGTATTAGAAATACTCTATCAAGCAAACTAGAGACAGACCCAGGTTTCTGGTTTAAACAAGAGTTCAGTTTTGAACAGATGCTAAATTTGGTTTGTGATCTCAAGTGAACAGATGAATTTGTGTCTTCTAGACAAACTAGTAGATTTTATTATTTTTTTAAATATAAATCTTTATTCAGATTATTACAGATGTTCCCCCCCCAATAGCTCCCCTCCACCCGGTTCCCACGCCCCATGCCCTTCTGCCCTTACCCCCCCACCCCATTTTCCTCATTCCTAGGTGTACCCTGCACTAGAGGAGGCTTTGAAGCTGGAGAGAGGGATGAGGAAGGAGGGGTCAGCTGCTGGGATTGCTTCTCAGGAATCTCCTCCTCCTCCTCCTCCTCCTCCTCCAACCTCTTTTGCCTTGTCATTATAATAAAAAAATGACATAGATACTATTGGTATACTTAAGAAATAGGTCAAGAAGAAAGAAAAAAAATGAAGAGAGAGGATAGAAAAATGGAGTGAAAAAAATGAGTGGACAAAAGAAACACAAAAATTGGAAAAATAGAAAACGAAGAGGCCCAAGACACTGAAAAGTGGTGTAATTAGGAAAACAAGAGCCACTGTAAATATTTCAAACAAGGGGATTTTAATATTGGGAATTAATTACCAAAAGAATTGGTTGGTCTGGAGAAGCAAAAAGTGGGTGATGAATTTACTGGAAGATCACCAATTGCAGGAAACCATTACCACTTCTAGGACTAAAAATGAAATGGTGTTAAACAGAGCCCGTAAGTGCTGTGATGCTACGATTGCTGAACTATCATTGTTGCCCCTGGAGCTGCGTCTGCTTTGCAGAAAGCTCAGGAGCCAGTGCATCTAGTGATGAAAAAGCCTGTAGTCTTGTTGATGATGTTGGACTCATCTCAGAGGATGCTAGCGCCTGTGGTCACTCACTGCTACCCCTACTGGAACTGCACTGCTCTCGCAGTAACCAACATTTGTACGATAGTTATCTGGTGCAGCTGTTGCTGCTGGAGCCAGAGTCCATGATCAAACTTCTGCTGAGGTTCCTGGAATACTGCTGCTGTCTCTGTAGGAACAAGAAACAGGAGTAAGGAAATAAAATGGTTTATCTTCTCCTGCCACCTAATTTTTTTACCAGTGTTTCCCTGTGGCAGAACATAAGGAGACCAGCTATTAAGGGAGTATGGGAAATGTAGTCTATATAGACTTCTAACTCCCTCTGAAGTAAAAGGAGAGCATGGGAGGGCAGGCATGGACCTGAGAGGCAATAAAGAACCAGCACAGAAAGAAGTTACAAAATACTGCTTCTTTAGTCATACTAGAGAGAAGCATTTTTGCAACTTTCTGAGTGATGTAAAATAAATAAATAAAGGCGCCTTGTGTATTTTTTTCTGGTTAACAGAAAGATTACATCACAGGGACCCATAGAAAGCCTTTGAAAGTGAGATAGTTCTTCATTGGGGTATCAATTAAGTATTTTGGTTTTAAGGAACAAAAATTGGACTCTGGTTAAGTTAAGAAGAACATATATTTATGATAGGAGGATTGGATAGTCGTCAGAAAGTGGAGTAACTAGTCCCTGGAAAAGAGAGAAACCGGGATAGCTCTGGATTCCTAGTTTGCAGACACTCACGGATGTCCTGTTTATGGTGCCACTTGCTGTTTGTATGGATCAGTTTCACTCTTTTCTTCTTAAGGGCCACATTACCAATAGAAAGGCTGAGATGTCCTAGCTTTGATTAGTTGCCCATTCTTCTTCATCAGAGGAGGAGGACCCGGCACCTTGATTGACAGCTCCATCAAGATTACTCAATAGTTGAGGGCTAATTTGTCAAAGGAATTTTGAGGTATTACATACAGTGGATACCAGGCAGGCAAAAATCACAAGAATCTATTAAGTGAGCTTAGTTTTAGATTAGCAAAAGGTAACTGGAAACCATAGCCAAAAATTCTTGAGCTCTTAATATGTAATAGGCACTCTGATCTCTTTTAATAATATGTTTGAGGAAGTTGTCATTATTATCCTCATTTTACAGATAAGAGGAATTGAGAGGTGCACTTCTGGTGATGGTGGATTAGGCAATTTGGACTAACTCTCCCACTGAGAACAACTAGAAAAGATGGATCACATATAAAAATCATCTGTGTGAAGGTTATCAGAGAGCTAACCCATCAGTGAAGACTATGGGGACAAAATCCTGGAGAAGAAGGAAGCCCAAAGAGGTGAGCTGGGCATGTGAGGCATTTTTCCCTTAGGAGAAACTTCTGTTTCCAGTGGAGGTGGTGGAGAGGCTAAGAAACTGAAAAGAGCATTTGACACACTTATGGGATGGGGCTAAGGGAGCAGCAGTTTGAGTTCAGGGTCCACCAAGAAAGGAGTTGTCCTGCTACATCCCCTAGCCTTGGGGTTAGGATCCTGGAGTGCTATGCCTTAGGAGTAGGTGAATCAAAAATAGAATGGTCCTAGCCGGTTAGGCTTAGTGGATAGAGCATTCGCCGGTGGACCAAAGGGTCCTAGGTTTGATTCTGGTCAAGGGCAGGTACCTTGGTTGCAGGCTCTTCCCCGGCCTAGGCCCTGATGGGGGCTCATGCAGGAGGCAACCAATCAGTGTGTTCCTCTCACATCAATGTTTCTCTCTGTCTTTCTTTCTCTCTTCTACCCTCCCTAAAAATCAATGGAAAAATATACTTGGGTGAGGATTAACAAAAACAACAACAAACAAACAAAAAGAATGGTCTGCTTATAAATAAAACCTAATCTAGAAGCATTGATTGGATTAAGGCTATCCAGGATTTTTAATGACTGTAGCCACTTGTTTAAGCAAAAGTCAACCCTTTCTGGAGGAAGATAACATCATCTTAGGCCTTAAATAATTTTTACAGTTTTTTTCATAAAATGTTTTACATCCACACAGAAATACCCAGACATACTGGAGACAAGATCATATAGCTGAAACTAAGTGAAACAAAGACCATAGCAACAGACTCACAAGAGATTCAGTGGATTTCTCAGACACTCAATGGATCAAACAGACAAAAAACTAGTAATGATTAATGTGCCCAACACCTGCAGAATATATGTTCTTCTGAAGTGCACCTGGAACACCAAAATTGACCATGTACTCGATCATAAAGCAATTCTGGATAAAAATCAGATAATAGAAATATACAGAGTATGTTCTCTGAACACTACTGGAAATCAGTAACAGAAGATAATTAGAAAATTCCCATGTATTTAGAAATCAAGAATTCCACTTCCAAATAACCCAAGGATTAAAGAAGAAATTACAAAGAAAATTTAAAAATATTTTTATCTAAATAATAATGGAAACACAACTTGTCAAAATTTGTGTGATGCAGCTATGTTCCTTTGAAGGTAATTGATAGATTTCTGGCCATATATTATAAAAGAAGAATGGGTAAAAATGATCTAATGCATTCATCTCAAGAAAGTAAGGTCAAAATCCCAGAAAATTAAGCCCAAAGAAAGGAAGGAAGGAAGGAAATAATTGGAAGGAAATAATAAAGACAAGAGAGAAATCAATGAAAAGAAAAATAAAAGAGAATATCAATAAAGAAAAGATTAATAACAACTGGTAAACACCTGATATCACTTATAAAAAAAGGAGAAGGTACAGCTAACCAATATCAGGAATTGAATAGAGGATATCATTATAGACCCTATAGACATCCTATATAATAAAGAGCTAATATGCTAATTAGACCAAACAGCAGAGTGACTGACCGAACATCCTTCCGGGCGACTGTCCGGATGACCTTCCGGATGAAGCCGGGGCTTTGAGGGCTGGCTGAGGCTGTGAGGGCCTGCAAGGGCATGTTGAGGCTGCGAGGGGCTGTGAGGGCCGGTCGAGGCTGTGAGGGGCTGTGAGGGTTGGCTGATGCTGCGAGGGCTGGCTGGGGCTGCGAGGGGCTGCAAGGGCCAAGCC